TAAAAGCTAGTCGAGGTTTGTTCTCCCTCTCACTAAAATTAAAGTGACACAAGAGAAAAACAAGCTTTTAARGAACTCTTGTACCGAAGCAGCGCTGCATTAATAATTTGCCAGCTGCATTTCCAGATGTTTAAGTACAGATAAAGGAAGAATGTGGAGACGAGTCAGATTACTCAAACTTTTATGACTTTCTGATATTAAATGACCAACCGATTAAGTCAAATTGTGCACATGGTTGCATATTGCGTAGATTTATTCCATTTATTTGAGCTCCAATAACTGAAGACTTCATGATTTCCTTCATTGGACACATTTTTAAACTAAAACATTAACAGTACTTTAAAATGGACAAGTTCATCCATCCATTTTCTGCATGTTAGAGTCGGGTCGAGGAGGCAGCTGTTTGAGCGGGGAGGTCCAGACCTTTCTTTCTGCAGCCACCTCTTCCAGGTCTCGTGGAAAGCATTCTCAGGCCAAACAAGAGATATCGGCTGTGTCCAAATTCAGGGGCTGCTTCCTACGAATTTGTCTTACGTCAAATGAGCTGGTATAGCAAAATAAACATGCATCTATGGCAGGTCCCTTTATTCTTCAAATATTGCCTTTAAGCTAATTTTGTTGTTTTGTGATATTAGTACTACTGATATATTGATATTTTAATCATTTCTATCTATTTTTGCTTCTGTATAGCATTGTCATCTTTGCTAGGTGACAGGAGATACGTAAAGGTGAGGGCAGGAATAAAGCAGAAGGCTACACCGTCCAAATTCACAGACACTCTTTTCCAGTCTTGGCTGTCTAGGACCCGGCTCATCTATACTGGGTACGCCAGGTCCTTCAAAAGAATTTGGACGCAGCCACTGCCTTTCCAGGGTGTTCTGGGTCTTCCCTGGGGTTTCCTCCCAGTCGGACAAGATGCACCTCTCTAGGGAGGCGTTCAGGAGGCATCCTTACCAGACGAACCACCTCACCTGGCTCCTTTCAACGTAGAGGAGTGGCGGCTCTACTCTGAGTCTCTCCCGGATACCTGAACTTGTATCCTTGATCTCATTCTTTCAGTCACTACCCAAAGTTTGTGG